GCGACGATCCCATCCAATTTGGTATCGAACCAACATCACGTTGATTCTGGTGGGAGAGTAGTGTAGTGGCATTGGACAATAGCCACACAATCCACAAAGCTGTGAACACGAGACTACTCAGAAAATAGATATTCAATATTTAACGCGGAGAAATACCTAACAATGGAGAAGGCGCGAACAATGAATTGAATGGACTGGAGTTGATCGAGTGGCATGGCTCGTCCATGCAGGCGTGGTCCATCTCAGTGTTACTTTATATCTTCTATTCATATTAAATATATTGTTCTTTCTCTAGCCTAACCTTGTTCCTCATCATGTATTGGTAATTGATACGATACAGTGAGTTGGTGTAGTCGATGGTGTGACTTCCACGTAAGATCTTATAGATTAGGCAGTTATATCATGACGAATCTACAATTTTGGGATTAGGTTTATTATTAGAGCAGTACTAATATCATAGTAGACCATAGTTCTACACAAACATCAATCCATTGTCTCACATTTCATTGTTCATGCGATTTCTTACAAATTCGATTGTGTTCTCGCTCTTCCTTTCTTAATCTTCCCCATCTTCTGCTGCCAGACATTATGTTCTTTTAACTCACGTTATATACTACTTGTATCAATATAAGTAGCACACACCACAACACAGCTTGGTATTTCTCGGGACCAGTAAACCACATTAAAACACGAGCTATAAAGCAGAGGCTAGATACTGTAGAGATGCTGCCGTACTCTGCTTACGAAGTAGAAAATGCTCCGCATACAGGGAATTGCTTTAATGCTGTCCAAAGGATCACGAAATGCACTTGGAAGATAGGAATCTCATGGACCCGGGTAATCAGTGCGTAACTCAAAACAAGGGAGGAGGGAATCAATGAATGTTATTCAACGTTATGCATCCATCAATGATAACAACAACGACGACAAAGATCAGTTTTACAAGCGGCTGCAATCGATATTAGCGAAATGCTCAGGAATCCGCCTGACCATCCTGAAGGGAAATCTAAACCGTAGAGTCGGAATGGACAGCAACGGTCAAGAAGATATCATGGGAAGAAATGGACTAAAAGAGGGAAACGGAAATGGGAAGTTATTTACAAAGCTATGTGTATTCAACAAACTGGTTTTCGGCGGAACAATATTCCTACACAATACACTAAGTTAGACAGGTCCTATTGCAGAACCAGACAAATAATATTTGCATCAATAAAAATACAGAAAGACAATGGAAGATGATGACATTGCTTCAGATCACCATCTGCTTGTGACAAACTCACTGAAATAACCCAATGAGGTGGAAACTACGATGGCGGACAACTGGAAAGGAACCAAAGAAGTACTCACTTCAGCTAGTCAGGGCCGCAAGAAGTGGATTTCAATCGAAACCCTGGACAAGATTCAAGAAACGGAAGAACAAGAAAACAGTAATTAACAACAGAAGAACAAGAACATAGAAAGTCAATACACAGGCTGAGTGCACAGAGGTGAACAAGCAAGCGAAGGAGAGCATTAGAATTACCAAGCAGCAAAACGTGGAAAACCTGGCAACGACAGCGAAAACAACTATACGGCACGACGAAGAAACTGGCAGAGAAATATGGTTAACCAGCGATATCGATCAAGGACAAAGATGGAGAGCCAGTCACTGAAATTTAAGGACAGAGTAGCAGATAGGTAGAATATTTCGTGAAACACTTGTGTCGAAACAGCAGACACAGAAATTCCTACAGACGTCACTCCTCTAACGATCGAAGAAATCAGAACGGCCGTCGGAAAAACCAACAGTGTGAAGGCAACACGACCTGACAATATGTCAGGGGCATTTGCAAAAATGCCCCACGTTCTTCTCGGAAAGTTGTGAAGAAGAACTAGTGTCGTCAGACTGGAAGAAAAAATATCTCACCAAGATACCAAAGAAACACCTCAGTTAATGTAAGGACTACAGAGGCATCACACTACTGTCATATACATGAGAAGTTTTCAGCAGTGTCGCTGGACCGTATGAAGGACTGAGTAGATGCACAACTTTGAGATCAACGGGCTGGATTGTGTGGGGATCGGCCATGTACAGAACGAACCGCAACACTACGGATCATCGTTTAGCAATCAGTTGAATGGAGCTCGTCGCTATGCCTCAAATTTCTTGACCATGAGAAAGCGTTGAACAGCGTGAGTAGGAGAACCTTGTGGAACCTTTTTTTAACACCATGATGTGTATGGGAAGATCGTCAACATCGCACGGAATTCACATGACGGACTGCATTGTAAGTCATGTATGGAGGCTAGCTGACAGATAGATATTAAGCGAGGATCAGTGTTAGACAAAGCTGCTTACTTTGCTTCTTCTTTTTCCTGGCGGCCGATCGGATTTGGATGACCTCCACATCTGAGGGAAGCACGGAATGAAATAGATAGCTTGAGTGCAGCCATACAACTTGCACTTCACAGATGATCCAGCTCCTCTATCCCAAAATCAACGAAACGACAGTGCGGCTTTGACTCACTCCACAGATGCCTTGAACTTTGCAGTGGGAAGGGTGTAGTTTGTGTCTCTTTAAATTGTTATCCACACTTCGAAATGACTTAATCTCTTACAGATCAAATACAGCACGTTTGACAGCCATTCAGTAGTTTATGTATTTGGAATTTCGCGTTACATATCAGTTTTCATGTAATCGATGTTACTCACAAGATTGCTTGTAAGCAGTCTTTAGCAGAACCTAGCGTCTTAGTTGTCAGATGAAGATATAATTTCAGTACATCCGAAGTACAGTCTATACAAGATACTTGATGACCAGAATGGAAGACAGTTTATTCTTCAGAACACACACTAGTGTAGATCACTAACGCAGATGATCTGTCGCACGCTTGTGAGCCCACTCGAGTTAGACAGGAACAATGTGGTCAATCAGCTATTTTCAAGATCACACTTCGTGGCCATCACCAAACGTGAATCACCCTTTCTTCGTATTCAGGTACTATGGCTGCTTCGAAGACTGAATGACGCAAAATACGTTGTTATAGAAATATATTAGTAAGCGTAGGTAAAAGAGAGTTTGACGACCATCCCACTGACTAGTCCACGGCGTGCGAATAAATGATGCGCGTTGAATGTGCTTGACGAGAACGATGAAATATTCGACATTCAGTGACTTGACTGGTGGATCATTTGGTTGCAGTCCGATGACATTTCACCGTCCCTACAACATCCCCGTTAAGTAGAAAAACTAGTTTTTTTCACCGGTACTTCAGTATAAACTTTATTTAAAGACAGACAGTGTGAACGAACAACCGTTTCATATAACTTCGAGCCCTTGAGTTCTGAATTCGAAATGATTAACCTTGTATACATTGGACATAATATTAAGGTTGTAGTTTACACTAAATAAATTCAGTGGATTGACTTCCTACCCAAAGTTCTCGCAAGTGACCACCTGGTATAAACCAAACCATTATTGCAGAAATTTGAACTTATAACCGCCGTGTATCTACTCCAAAAGAGGTCTAGGAGAATTAGACGAATTTTCAAAGCAACCATATGCCCACAATCCTTCTATTTATCGTTTTACGATTGATTCATTTTATCTATACCAGGTAACGCGTCCAAACTGATTTCCGAATTGAAGTGAACCCATTTTCAACTATTCGGAAACATCTACATATGTAACTGAGAGACCAATAAAACAACAAGTGCGTACGAAAAGATTAATGAGTCAGTTAAGGTATACGTAATTGAAATATAGATAGCAACCAATCTGATAAATGAAAACGAATTTAGGCAAATGAAGTAAAAGTTTCACAATTGATTGATCACTGGGTGGAGATCAATCTCATGCTTGTCTAGTCCTTATTAGTGCAGATCGAAGTAAAAGTTTTGCAAGATTTATGTCTGGGTCAGTATTAGGTGAAGTTATCGATCCTGATAAAATTATGTACCTAATCCAATACTGTAGAATCGACATGACGTGACTACCTAGTCTATAGGATATAATCTGCTGAATATTTTATCAGTGTTTCCAGAAAAGTGAATTTCCACATGTGGTTGACCGTATAATTAATGATGATTTTGGAATTTATTTTGCAATTTATCTCCTTTATTAAAAACAGGTTTGATGGAAAGATGGCTTCAAAAGTCTGAGTCAAAATTTCAACCAGTGGGGTATTCACTCGTATACAGCCACGAATGAGTGAAATTCTCAATCAGAGAACGTGTTATCACTAACTTCTGTTGTAAAATTTAGACTATACTGGGTTTGCAGATTGATGAAGTACCCTCGTAATAATCGAGATCTCTTGAACTATTTGTGTTTCTGAAACCCAAAAAGCCTGTGAAATACTGGAAAAACAAGGGTGAACACGGTGAAATTAACAAATTTGCACGATGACAATATTGAAATTGGTACAAAGTTTGTTTTTATAAACTATTCCGCGAAAACTTATTTGTCCTGAAGTTGAACTGCAATTTTTGATGGCTAGTGCATATAGCGTGTTATATCGCTCAGTTGCACTGTGTTTTTTCATTTACATAGTATTTTATACTTATCAACTGTTTCATGGCAATGGTCCGTTTCATTTCAAGGACCTGGCATTTTTATTGCGTTTTCTTACCATCCTGACAATAGTAAGATATTTTGATACACAGACTTATTGGTGTTTCAGTCACTTCAAATTGTTTACTATGCTTTGGCGACTCCTTTACAGTATTTAAAAAACTTTAAAATGCACAGCTCATTATACGCTCTCGCATTTACGGCCAATTTAGTAAGTGGATTTCGATTCTAATATGTAGATTGTGTGTATTATGTTCTGGGGCATTTTCATCGCAGATAAGGCTTTGTTGATGAAGGAATCTGAAATGAAATTTGTCCCATGGTGGTATAATCATGCTTGTGTAAGTCTGGTCGTAAGTTTTATTTCAGCACACTGTTGGAACTCCTGCCATCATAATTGACGCTTTACTATGGAGACCAACAATCGTTCCTATATCGAACTCAGTCATGCTTCTTCTAGCATACTTCGGTGGATATGTAGCCTAGTAAGTTCCATCACAGCTTTGTTTTTTGGCGTTTACTAGGCATTTTCAAGGTCTATATATTGTGTTCTGCAGTAAATATTTTAGTATCCGATGTGATCTTTTGGAAACATTGCAAGTAGTTTTATCTTCTCAGACTGCTCCGTTTATATTCTAAATGCGGGCTGTACGTTAGCGTCAGCAAGACATGATTTCATTAAGCAACAGCAAAAGTACCTAATTACAGAAGTAGATGGATTATCTTTGAAGCTTTCATGCAAATCACCAAATGACCCGGAAATATGTGCTTAACTCTACAACACGAAACCACCATCCACACTTTTTATCCATCAGGTTTATTCTCTCCACAAATAAAGGTCATACATGGAACCTAGTACATGTGCATCGGTTCACAGTACCTTCGATAACAGAGGTGTTCTGATAGGATTACGGCTCAGGGTTTATACTAACCTCTTGAACCATACCCTACCGAATGTAACCAGATACAAGCGACTATGGTTTTGGTAACCCCCACAACTATATGTAGTCCATAATGTAATATACAGATATCGACGTGTTTACCGTCACATTCAAGAGGGATTATTTGCTACCCATACATCTCTCCTTTGAAGTATGTTGCTACCTGTAAAACAACTTAAAGTTACTTGCAGAACCTTAAGTTTGTGTTGATTATCGATTTCGCTTTCAGTGTGGAATACCTTATACGCATTCATCGTTTCTACCCTTATCCCATACTTGCGGTTTTCTCGGATATTGGACGATTTGGATTTTATTCAGTGGTGATCATCGCTACTATCCTTTGCTTCGGAGTCGGTGTACTGATGGTTCGCTCTCTAAATAAGACTCAACATAAAAGGTTCACTTCAAAAACACAGCAACGAACAGAGCGAAAAGAGTCTACTCCTGTTCAGAGTAAGTGTTGGTGTACCTTAATTTCTGCTTGTTTATTTATAATTGATCTAATTCATCTATATGATTCTGTCCTTTTTTTATCTTGCCGGCTAAATGACCGATTTCTGTCGTAGAGACTTGTTGGTTAACGTCACGTTATCAGCCAACTATTGAAATGGCAGTTTTTCAATCGATATTTTTGACAAGTGTTTCAATACAACGATTGTCTACCTCCGGATTTTTAGTTATCTGATGACAACTACGTAGTACAATGAAAAATCTGATCCTAGCATCATCATGTCAAGGTTACTTTAGTTTTCGTATAGTGTCCCTTAAAATAAAAGGTAATTACAAATAGAAAAAAGCACCTCTTGACTAAAAACCTGTAATGATTCATGAATCCTTATGATTCAATTAATCTTTCCTATAGTTCATCATCCTGATTAAAAAGGGTAGACTTCTTTCACTGTAAATTAGTGTATCTGTGTGATTATCAATAGTCATATGTGTGAGTGGACTAGAACACTGTGTGCGGGTGCTAATTCAAAGCAGGCAGTTTTAGGGGGCTGGTCCCTGAGCCATTGACTTGAAGGTCTAGTCCACAAGGTAATGGAGCAGTGTCATACTATCTGTTAACCGAATAGGATTATAGGCCATTCGTCCCCTCAATATCATGCAGGTCAATTTTTAATGTTGGTCTAGAGTTAACGTTTTCTAACCTGCTTAAGTGACCCCCCCGTGTCCATCAGCCCTGTTTGCTTCTCTTTCACTCAATTTTGTAAACAACGGTAGCATCGTGTGAAAGCAAGTGGGTAGGGTTTCTATTGCATGAACTAAAATGTTGTGGCCGTATTTGACTATTTCTATGGGAAGTGTCAACCTTACACCAACAGCCGTACCGCGGCATTGAAGAGTTTCAATGTTATCCTTTTCGTGGCTCATCCTATTTTGGTGCTCAGTTGTGTCAACTTATAATTTTATTAAACAAATAAAATGAACATGATCAATTTATTATTTGTGATGCACATGACAATGGAAACTGATCATAGAAATAGACCTACCTCAATATCGATTGAAATGGTCCTGTCAGGTCAGCATTACATGGTATTGTAATTTTCCGATTCATACATCTTGTTTTCCCCTATGTTTCTCCCTGTTTGTTTGATAATCGCTATCCGTCAATACTGAAGCCATTTTTAAGTAGCCTCGTTGATTTTGCATCAGTGTGTACATATTCTAAACCAATTTACACTTTTTCGTCATGTTATACATTTTTTTCTTTCTAAACTTGTGAACCCACCTAATATAATATCCTGACTATCTTTCTCAGTTGTATATTACATAAGCTATCTACTTGTCTCTCTCCCCATGGTTTATTTCTATATATCTGAGTTATAAGTATATCTATGTATGTATTTATATTGCTGCATTATTGGCTTCACAGGTAGACACAAGAAATCTAAGAAGATGGATTGAAATGTGAAATGGCAGAACAATATTCTGGCTTTCTCAGTGTCTCCTAATTTTTCTTCTCATCATCATAACTGCAACTACCGCTACAATTAAAATCCTCAGGAAACAAATGAATTTTTTTCTCTCCACAGCGCTATTCTGTATCGTCGTTGTCCTCCCTCTCTTATTTATTTGTAAATTATGTCGTTAGTGTATTTTTGATCGTCACTTTTTCCCTTCATTTTGATGGGAATCTGGCATTAATCCACATTGTTATTCGAAACTAATTTTCTAACGTTCCCTTAGTCAATTGAAATATGTTGTCTCTATTTATCCTTTATTTTAAGAAATAGTTTATATATATTTGTGCGACATTTAAATTTTTTAATAATGATGCTCATTTACCACATACTTATGTAAGTACTGTTTCACACGTGTCCTGTCTATCGTTGTTGGTTTACTGTGGGGAGAGGGTTATGCCAAGAAGTTCATTCCTTGTGACGTGGTGGTAGTAGCTTACTTTGTTATGGACTGAAGTAAACTATGTAAAAGCGAACAAAGACACTCAAAGTCTGTCTAATCGAGGAGAAAATATCAACGAAAACGTACATAACCATGAATATAGAATTGGAGATCGTAAAGAACCAACATGTAATGTGAAATGACAGCTTGCTCCCACTGGACATATCATTGAGATATTTTAGCGTAAGTAATATACATTTATTTTAGTCACTCCATTATAAGCTCAAAGCCTGTTCGTCTATCTAGACTTGGAAAGGAAGTTAAATGTGACACGGTTGATTTATTTCACCGATTAATTTGTATACGAACTTATAAGTTGATAACATGACGTTACTGAGTCAAGTCTTGACTCCCTTTGCCTGTGATTGACGTACACAACTCACAACTTATTTTTTAAGTGACAGGCAATCATGTTTATTCTCATGTCTTACATTTTGTGTGTAGGTGTGTTATTTGGCTAGAGAACAAAAACTGTTCTTCTGCCAAGTTGTCTTTTAATGTTTGTTCCTTTGGGAACTTACATTAGTAATTCGGTCCTGTGAACAATTATCACTAGACCATGCAATATTATTACGTTACATTAGTCGATCAGTATTATACCAAAGAATCTGAAAATCCGTTCATCATTATCACAAATTTGAGGACCCGATAGCAGGTGATTTTATGAATTGGTAAGGGATGTGGATTGCTCCTTTGTTGATATTTAGGATTGTGCTTTGATCGTCCGGTCTTTGTGTGTGTGCATCCTGTACGTATTGCGTTGACGTAACGATTTCTCTCACGTTTTTTTAAAAACCATACCCATTGGACGAGCTAGTGGTTATTTGGACTGGGATAACGAATTGGGGTTTGAAGCTCAAGGTACTAGATTGTAGTCTCAATATGAACATCAACACTGTGATACAGGTATATCCGCCTCTTCGCTTCTGATTTCATTGGGTTGGCACGTTTCCATCACAAAAGGTGTTACTGGTTGAGACGTTGTCAAACTCAAATGCTTGTGGCATCTTTAGGTTTAATGCTTTTGTCGGACATTTTACAAGATTGTCTATATGTGACCGACACATTGATAAGATTGGACGTAAGTGGGTGTGCGCTTATGAATCTTTGGTAGTCCATATAAATTAGGGTACACCGAACCCTATATGTTTTAACAAAGTAGACTCATCTTCGTTAATAGCGCTCATGTTTGATAATTTCGCTAGATTCGAGTTTATTTTCCTTTCCAATTTACATAATTCATCAGAGTCAACATCAGTCATAAATTTGCTTTTATCACTGACAATGGACTCCATTTTATTTTTGTAATCAAACTTATTCGTAATAACGACACCTGATCCTTTACAATGCTTAACTAAAATAATATCAGCATTATTTCGCAATTCTTCAAATGAACTGAAGTGCTGAGTCGTTAATATGCTTCTCTGTTTTGGTACAAGAGAATGGAACTGGTGCGTTATATCCACTAGTTTAGCTTTAAACCAACTTTGGCTCTCTAAATATGAAGGGGCTAAAGTACTCAATTGATCATAGAGGTTTTCGGATTTGGCATTGCCTGTCAATTCAGAGATTTGTTGTAGGGACAGAAAAATTAAAACCCACAGAAAGTGCCTCCTTCTCATGAACGGACAATACAATAGAGGATAAATTAGTGACATGTCTATCGGGATTTGCTGGGACAGGAGTGAGATGGGTTAATTTCTTCCCAATTATCTTAAACCTCGTTTATCATGGCTGTGCATTCATATGTTGATGTAACGACTGATTATAAAACTAGTGCTAATTCAATAGTTGTGCGTGGGTATAACGGGAGGAGTATTGAGGACGCTCAGACGTTTGATGTTACTTTACGGATTATCATTGTCTAAGTTTAGATAAGTGAGTTATTGTACTTCTACATTCTCTTTACTGTGAGCGTTCAGTGAATCTACATATTAATTATTGCTAGTTGATTATGTACTATTTGCTTTGTTCTCTGTTGCTTATATCATGATAATGTTTAAAGTGTGATTTCTTATTTGATGTGCTTTGCTGTTTGATAGCCCATGTAAATAAACCTATGAGGGCTTAAAATATAAATATATGGAAGCTTATTTGATGCTGTGCCCACTTATCGGACTCATTACGTGAATAGACAAGTGTGTGTTCTGGACTAATAAGGTTTAGAATTATCTCAACCACATTTCAAGTTTCGTCATGTCCGTTGAAGCGTGTCAATGGTCAGAATGTGGGATTTTATTACATAGACAGGAAAGTAAGGCTTGATTGGATAATTACAAGTGTGAGTTCTGGTTGTTGTCTCAGTGATATGGATAACCAGTTTATAATTTGGGGAGGACCATCAAGTTGTAAGCTAGCGGGAGGGAGATCTGATTTTCAAAAATGATTTCATGATAGTGAATCGATTTAGTAGACATTCTTTGAAGTTACGCGAGTAGCCATTTTTACAGATGTACATGAAACGGGGCTTACCAGTCTTCCACGTCGAGGAAGCTGAAATTCAGTTCAGCTCTTCTAAATTTTCTCTGCTTAGATCTCACTCTGTGGGCGGTCAAGTTGTCGCTGTTATGATCTAAGATTTGGTCTGCATGACTAGGTTTCGCGCGTATTTGTGACTACAAAGTTTTTGTATTAGTTCTACTGATTAGGATATCTATGAAGAGAACTCTATCTCCTGATTCCTCCCATGTGAACCCCTGTCTTCAAAGATGTGGCTGACGAACTTGTGTGTGTATAGTTGGCGTCGAGTCCCGGTCGACTATGATCACCACTACAGATAGACTACGTGCCAGTTACTAGGTTAGACCCCTCCATAGGCCAAATATCAGAAGGCAGTTGAAGGTTGTAGTTAAGATGTATTTGTCGGCGATCTCGTGATAACGAAATAATACCGAGATCGTGTCAAAATCTACAAGCGAGACTGCCGAGCGTACGAGAATTTGTGTAAAGTCACAAACAACGCAAGAGTGTGTTGTTGGTACAATTAAACAAAAAGAGTGCAGTAAAACAATCACTGATACAACTGGTTATAATGGTAGATTCTAAGATCCATTTTGAGTGTTTTGTGTGTGAAAATCCCTCCATCTATACACTCGCAGTTTTTTCCTATTGATTCCCTTAGTTGTACATTTCGTTAGTCTTTTTTATTCCAGTTGAGTTGGTTATATTTGTATTTTATTATAGTTTTTATTCTTCTTACGCCTTCACTAAGTTTCGATGTTTCTTCCCAAACAGCACTTATGTTGTTTTACTTGATAATTAGTCTTGGTGGCAACCATATTGGTTTGTTGCTCCTTTTGATTTCGTTGCTTGTATTGACTGGAATTGTGCATTTTTGATTGTGAATTGAAGCACTCTTCCAGAATTGGAAACACTGTGTTATAAAGCAACCAAATATTATCTTTTGAACGAATCTGTGCGTGGTCCATCCAGACAGGATAGAATTGCATTTATTTGTTGTGATTGATTTGATTAATTGAACAATTATTGGTTGAATAACTGGATAGTAATATTTGTCTAGAAACGTCATTTTCCCACTCAACTGGGCGATAGCTCATATCTAAACTACTTAGACATTTATTCTTCAGTCCAAACATTAGTTTGGATTCTACAGAAACTATATCATTGTTTATACTGGCTCGTCCTACATGGAATCACCAATATGTTTAACACTTCTAGAGGACACGTTTGGGTTAGGGATAGAATAATATATTGTGCATGAAAAGTAATCAGTTACACAGTGAATATGCCAGCATGGTCGAACAGAGCCAGTTTCAGTCTGCGTTCATGTGTTTACTATCTTTGATCTTCCCTAAGTGTTAGATGCTAAATGCAAGTCTCTTCAGCACTCTTACGTTCAGGTCCACAGATCGTATTCTTGGCAACAAATACAATCACAAAGTTTTCAGCTGGTAATATCTGATCAAAACCCAGGTGCGTCAACCTCAATATCGTTTGCTCCATCTCCTCCTTTTGTGTTCTATAGACTGTGTGAAGTTGTTACATTCCTCTATTTGAAAATTTGCGCTGATCTCAGTAAAGAAATACTGGAAGGATTTTATCAACTCTGTTACTTCATTAATGCGTGGTGTCAGGAATTTGATTCGGCCGTTATTGTATGCTTTCACTCCACCTCCTGTTTTGTGTATCCTATTTTATCAGAAAAGCGTCATGTTTTGTAAGCTGATTTCTTCAGCCATGGTCCAAAATGCTTCGATCTTCAAATTTAGCTGAAATCACAAACTTCTGTTTTCTCCTAGTTTACCCGTTAGTCTTCTTCTATAGAAGCACTTGAGGGTTTTTCTAATCATCAGGTGCTCCTTTGCATCGACATCTGTTTTCTGGGATTTAGGTAGTTATTTTTCTGAGCATCTTGGCCAGTCCCGTGCAAACTGGTCGCTGTAGGCGTTTTGACTGCATAGCGTGTCCCAATAGCACGACCGTGGTCTTTGTGTGCAGTACTGCGGGTTGTTGGTCAAAGTTAGTCGACACCAAGACGTGTT